ATAAAAACAGCTGTAATCATTTTTTTTTTTTTAGTGAAGATACTAATAAATTTTGAAATTTTACAGATTTGAACTGGACCTGAATTTAAGTGATACAAGTTTGTACCCTAACTTTAGATCCAAATCAATGTTTGGACCAAGTATAAATCTTTAAAAATATCTGTCCAGTCTGAATTATACAAAATACTATCTACTAGGCTGATTTAGATAATCTAACTACAGATTTGTTTCATTAAGCTCTACAACTTAGAGACTCAAAGATAATTAACTTAGTATGAAAAAAGTGTTTCTTGGAAAATTTTTTCTTTTGTGTCTATAGTAATTTACATATAGAACTGTGTTATATTTCACTATGATTATTCTTTAGTTTATTGAAGAATCATAAATTAAGTTTATATATATATTTTTTTTAATTATTATTATTATTTTTTTTTTTTAGCAATCCTTCCTTTATTATTTATTTAGACATAGAATACAACACCATACATTAGTATAGTTTTAGTGGCTAAACTATGTTATAATCTACATAAGCCAGTACTAATAAAGAATCACTCGATCTATTAAACAGAAATTCTGCAAAAAAAGACCCAGATGCGACTCGCCTAAATGGTTCATCTTTACCTTGTCTGGGATTCCCAACTTCCTGAGAATTTATACCCCGAGAGTCTACAGTAGGTGCTCACTGACCTTGTTAAAATCACTGCTCTATATAACTAAAAATTTCTTAAAAATCTATTATACTGTAAGTTCAGTATATAAGCATAATGAAACTTTTATTGTAATAATTATCAATTAAGTTTAAAAAGAGTTTATTATATTTTCTATCAGGATATATTGTATTTACATATCACCAATCTGAAAAAAAATTCCCTAAAAAAAAAACAAAAAAAAGAAGCGCAAATAGAGTAAGGGGAATTACGAGAAAGGGGATATTTTGAAAAGTAACAAATACGAAAACGAATAAACTAAGAAAAGAAATCTAAAGTACTAATTAAACTAAAGAACCTATCTAACAAATTGATACCTGCTAACCAGGATACTTATCTACATGATCGTAGTAATTACATAGAACTCAGCTGACATATAAAAAAACTAAACTAAATGCACTTTAACCTGTGCTAAGGGCTAAAAATTATATGCACATGATTTTATCCAAGGACTGCATATCTCAAAATCTCTTTATCGCCTGACTTTAAATCCATAATCCATTCCAAAGTATAACAAACTTAATCGACTCCACATGTTCTCACTGTCACGCCTCATCTATTTGGTATGGAAGTCCTTAAAAACCTTTCAAATCTTCAATGTGCAGAGCCATGTTCTCAAATAAGGAATCAATTTTCCTATGTAGCCACGTGTTTGTTGTGTTCATGTCACAGAGTCGCCAAATATGGAAGTGGTAAACAATGCTGATTTTTTGACAGGAAGTAGTCTAATTTCCCACTTTTTGTCAAAAATTGGTTTTGGGAGTGTCAAAGCAGTGAGGGAAGTGTGGTTTTGCGAGTTTCCAACTAAAGAGAGTTTTTCCAAGAGTTCGTCGTATCCTTCTATCTTCAAACTTCCTAAGTTTTCTTTTCTACTTGCTGTTCCCAGAGACTTCTCCGGTTTGGATGCCAAACACAAAAGGGAGTCCACCCGAAGAAGTAAGAAAAAGGCTTGACCCTTTGCAAACCATCCAAAATGCCCGCTCCTTGGTGTATCACGTTTAGAGACTTTGTCAACAACAGTTTGTATCGAGAAAACTTCAAGTTGTTGTTGACTTCTGGCCTTGAGTCTTCAACTTGCTTTTGGTACTAGTTGATCCAAGTGATTGTCAGAAGAGTTGATATATATTTTTAATTATTAAAACTAATAAAAATAATAAGAAATAATAAAAATATAGTCAAACCTCTATAAATACAATATATACAAACTAGCCATATTTGTTATAATCCCGCTATAGTCACCTTGATTCTTTATTCTATCTAGTAATACAAATCAAAAATTAAATTAATCGATTAGTTGTAAAGTTGACAACTAATCGATTTGAATTTTACAGACCCAACTTAGTCAATCAATTAGTCGACTAATCAATTAATCAATTGGCCAACTAATTGATTAATCGATTAGTCGATTGGTCAATTAATTGACTAGTCAATTGGTTGATTAAATCGACCAATCATATAAAAATATCAACTAGCTGTTTCAGTTGCTACCTTATTTGGGGGTCCGTTAAAGCCAGGTGCGTTTGGTATAAACTTGGAAATGATCTACATGTTGCATAAATTATCTTATTGATATTTACATAAACCACTAACCATTACTGCATCAAAAACGTAACCCTAACTGCATCAAAAAAGTAATTCTAACGCACCTGGCTTTAACGTTCCCCCTTACTTGTATTTTACCAAGCTTCATTTATTATTTGTTGGGGATGATACTGAAATCGGATGATGCAGAATTTTTAACTTATTTTATTATTAAAAATTAAAATTTTTTGAAAGTGTTTGTTTAGCTTTTTTTTATTGTTCAATTAGAAGTTAGGGTTAATGTTTATAATAAAAGAGTATACGTGGATTTAGTAGGTTTATATTTTCAAATTAAGACCCCAAATTTCAGCATCATCCGATTTCAGCATCATTCCAACATTATTTTATTCAACTAATTGATTAGTTGGTCAATTGATTAGTCGATTAATCGATTGGCCAACTAATCAATTAGTTGAATAAAAACCGATTGAAAAATTTTTATCAATTTGTATCACTAATTCTATCTATATATACTATATATAAATTATTATTCACTTTAATCACAATCTCACAATCTCGCAATAGGCACATAAAATGCTTGATTTTGGCATGTGACTATTGTGGAGTTTTACTGTATATATTTAATAGATGATTCACCAGTTATCTGGAGAGCTATGTAATGCAGATTACACAAAATTTATCTATAAATTATATATAAATTCTTCAATTAGTAAATATGAAGAGATTATATATAAACCTTTTTTCTTACTAAGTAAATCACTCTTAGGCTTCTAACAAAAGTTGTAGAGCTCATCAAGACGCATCTGATGGTGGCAAGAACGTTAAAATTTGCCTGGTGGTTCTTGAGAAATTTATATATTGATAAAATGTTTTTTGAAGATTTCTCAAGAACCACCAGGCTGATTTTAACGTTCTTACCACCATTAGATGTGTCTTGATGAGCTCTACAACTTTTATTAGAAGCCTAAGAGTGATTTACTTAGTAATAAAAAATTTTAGATGTAATATCTTCATATATGGCTTAATAGTAAAATTTATTTATAAAATTTGCAGATCTTCTCCAGATGACAGATGGATTGTCTATTAAAAAGATTTATATTTAGAAAAAACTAATCAAATTGCAGCTTTTAATATTTAATCTGCAGGTTTGTATAATAAATTTAAATACTAACTTCTGATTTGCTAACTTTTGATTTGCTACATATATTTAGGAAGATTAGTATAATATAAACATTTTTTAAGTAAACATATATTTGCAGAATATAAAATATATATTTAGCACTAATAATTCATATAGCCAAGACAAAAACATGTATTTAAAAAAATATTGCATTTATGAAGATTGCATTTAAAGAGATGTAACTATAGTAGAATAGTAAAAAAATTAAAATAATAAATAGTTAAAATAGTTAAAAGATATTAAAAAAAAGATCGATACAAACTCTCTCCCATACAAATTCGTAAGGGAAAGAGTGCAAACAAAAAAAACATGATAACTAACAAGGCCCAACAAGGGCACTAGCCCTTGTACCAAGGAAAAGAAGATATATTACTCTTGAAATACAAGAAATCTGCAACAAAAACTAAAAATACAAAACTTTCTCTTCGACGAACAAAGAGAAACAAACAGCATGTCAAAACAACAACAAGGAAAGGAAACCACTGCAAATGCAGCTACTTCAACACAAGCAATCAAAACAACTACAAAAAATATTAGCTGGGAGGAACTAGCATCTTTAGAAGAAGAGAGCCAAAGCTCAACCTCTACAAACACATCAATACGTAAAAATGAAGAACAACAACAAATAACAAAACAAGTCACGTTACAGAACACATGCAAGATCATGTAACTATAGATCAAGAACAACTGATAGAACAAAACACATCAGAGGCTATAGAATTTTTGGAAAATAACCCACACATTGGAAGCTCAACCTCAAAAGGAAAAACTAAAACAGATACTAGTCAACCAAAAGATACAACTAACAAAAAGTGGTCAAGCCTATTTGCAAAATTAAAAAGGGGCCAATCAACTTATGCAGCCTTCTCCCCTAGAGAACAAATAAGAACCAAGAATGAGAATGCATTAATTATCAAAATACAAGATATTTAAAGCTCTTTCAATGAAATAATGATCTCACTTTATGAAAGCGTCAAACAAGATGTTATAGCAGCAAAGCAACACTTCAAAAAGAGTAACCGCACACACTTGGAAATTATCTTCTCTAACAAAAATACTCTTGGTCATCATGCAGCCAAGGGTATCAACATCTTTAACAAATCATACTTTGGTTACATTCCAACAAACTCACGCAAGTCTTTCCTCCTAGTAAAGCTCAGAAACGTCCCATTAGGAGGGAAAGAAGAAATAACAATGCTAATCAAGGGTGCATTTCAAGATTTTGGCAAAATAGCCTCAATCAAACAATTGGCAATTGAAGAAATACCATATTTAACTGATCAATAGATTGTCATTTTTGACACAACAGAAGATGGGATTTAGAAAAGCGAATCTCTCATTTACTCACCTCAGAGACAACAAAATTACTACTGAATAGAAGGCAGCTCCTAAAGTTTGCTACTTTTGCAACCAGAAAGGGTATATAAAGAAAGAATACTCTCAATTCAAAGAGTTATTGAGAGTTCAAAGAAATCTCCAAGACAAAAAACAAAGACTACCTTAGCAAAACTACTCAAGAAGTAGAAAGTCTCCCAGAAAATGAAGAGAAAGAGGAATTGAAAGAAGAAGCAATGAGTATAGAAACACCAGATGAGCAAAAGGTAAAAGATATCTCTCATAGCACAGATAACAAAATAGAAGACACTCAGAAAGAAGCTGAACAAGCGACTACTTTCTCAGAAGCAAAACTCACAACAAGAGATGAGCTTACACTAGACGGCCCATCTTTTAAAGATAATAACAAAGAGAATAACCCTCAAGAAAATACATTGTCAGCAATTCTGATGGAAAAAGACTTTACAACTGTATCCTATAAGAGGAAAAAAAGAAACAAACAAATCAAAATATACGCAAGTAAGCAACAGTAAGGCAAGCTTCATACAAGAAAGAACGAACAGAGGAGAATTCTCCAAAAGCTCAATTAGAGTACACTTATTTTTATAATACAGTCAGGGATATTTCCAAATTTAGAAAATCATATTTTGTATAACAGATTGCATTCTAGATCGATTCTAGAATAATCGATCAATAAATTTTTATTGGCTCACGGTCACACTTTTTGGCTAAAAATTTTTGATCTTTCAGATCTTTCACAATGCCTAATAATTATACAAGTACAGAGTAGAAGATTCAAAATTTCATAATCAACTAAAAATCAATGATAATCAATTTTTT